CATGGTAACACCAGTTTAGAACTCCTGAGCAATGTTTAAATCAGAGCCACTAGATGTGCAGGATCATTGAATCATCCTATGGAATTTTTAGAAGGCCATCACAGTAGAACTGGAGCTCAGCCCAGAATAATATTCCTGATGGATGAGTAACATTTGCTTCAAATTCAATTGGATTGATTCAATTTCAGTATCACTGCCAGGCTCTTCCATGCAATTTAAAGGATTGTGGCTGAACATCAGCTTTTATCTTACAATGCACTTCTGGGCATTACTTTAGATGCATGGTCTGTATGCACAAGTGCCTACAAACAAAGGCAAATAACACAGTATTTTTATTAGTGCTGCAGATTGAAACCAAAATTGTTGACTGTAATTTGTGTTTGTGGCCAAGGGGCTGCCAGCTCCAGTTTTAGACTAGCTTGGAAAAAGTTCTGGATTGGGTTTTGAGTAGGAAAATAAAGATAAACACAACAAATAAATTCTTAGTTAAGGTACAAATAGAGTTATAACACTGAAGTTTGGCAGAGAGAGAAAAATCTTTTTTATTAAACAAACATGTAAACTCTCAGGGAAAAAAAAAAGTCAGCTTGTCTGCAAAATGCAGTTTTCTTTGTTGTTTTTTACTTTTAATATTCACTAAGTATACAACTCAAGAAATAATCCATGCACATTGAATTATCCAGACTTTGAGAAGAAATTTTTGAAGAAGAGACAGAGGAAGAGGTAGCTGAACAAACTTTTATTTTTCATGCATGTTTGTTGGTGGACAGAGACGGCCGTGCCATTTCACAGCAAAGATTTAGATAGCTAATCTGGGCAAAGAGCTCTGGCATCATTTCCTCACTAGAATGTTTAATTTGTCAGCCTTCAGATTTATCTTACCCACTTCTCACACAAATGACAAACATGTTGCCATCCCTCAAAAAAAAAAAAAAAACAACGCTAAATGTAAGCATTCACTCTTTTTCCCTTAAAAAAAAAAAAAGGAAATCTCGGTGAGGAAAATCATCATACCACATCAAGGTCATCTGACAGTATTCAGGATTTTGGGGAACAATAAAAGATGGTTTTAATAAAAGATCACCACTACAAGAATCTAGAAGACTAAATATGAAACAGTGCTATAAACAAACACACTTCTTTCCATAATATGCACTTTCATAAACATATAGGAAATCTCAGGACAGTACACACTTTTTTAACAGTTTGTAGTTCATATCCTATGGGAGATTTCAAATGGGCTTGTCTGACAGGATCAAAAAGATGACATACAATGAAAATAAGCCTACCCAACACTGTTCCATTTCTTTGTCTTTTTATGTTTAGTTGTTGGTTTACATGTGTTCTTCAAACTGTCACACTTTCACAGTCCCACAAAACCAAAGACGAAACAGAGGACTGAATTAAATCCATAAAGAAAATTTATCTGATACCAGTACCTCAGAAGGCCCTTATTCTCAGTAGTTGGCTGTCGAGAATCAGCTTTCACTGGCCAGTTGCTTAAACATCTACCTTGTAAACAAGTTTTTACAAGACCTCACCATTAATGTTCAGCTGAAGCTTTTCATTCAATTGTGGAATTTTCCTCTGAAGAAAATCTTCAGTCAAAAATTATCTTACAGTTTAATGAGGCTGCATGAACTAAATTACCTTGCCCCATGGCAAACAGAGCTCCCTAGAGGCTGACTGGAAGTTTGTCCTCAAATAATACATACTACGTTTCACTGCATATTATCAGATCATTTTACATAATAACACAGAATATAAAGAAACTGCACAATCTCAAAGGTATTAGCAAATTATAACCACTTTGAGAAAAACTGGTTTAAAAAAAAAAAAAGAAAATAAAAAAAAGGGGGGGGGAACCCACAAAAAAAAACCCCAAACCCAAAGACCAGATTCCCAACTCTGTTGCACGAGTGTATTTGCAGAGAAACTCTATTAATTTCAACACTACTTAAGAATTCACTCTGTCTTCTAACAAAAGTGAATATCTAGAGTCTTAAATGCTAGAATGTAGTCTTCATTTCAGGAAAGTTCCCTCTCTAAATGTCTTTTGGGAATTATAATTTTGGATCAAAATACTTTCTTACTGTGACACAGTATGAACTTGCATTGATTTCAGTAAGCCTACCTGACAATAGTAAAACTTTAATCCCTGAGTATGATACCTGAATTTGATCAATGCAGAACTCCATAAAATAATTAAATGTATTTATATATGGAAACACTATTTCTATTATTAAATTAGAAATATAATTTTATCTATACTTTCAAGTTAAAAATCAGCAAAGTCTTCTCATATTTTTGGTCTGACATTTGAGAGCTCTGAAAAACACATAACAAGTAACTTGTGAGCTGACATTTAGGACCTAAATGCCAGTGGTCACTGCACACCTCATAAAACAATGAACATTTTCTTTTAACTGAATTTGGCATATTATTACTAATATTCTTATTACTTTGACCATTATTCTATCAGCTTTGACCATTCTACAAGGCCAGCATCATGAGAATGAGCACGAACTTTGCCATTTGTTTCAGTGGGTGTAATACTGATCACTCATACTCAGGAGACAAAGGCTAATCTATTTCCTCATTTTTTTCCAGGAGCTCTACAAGTAGAACTAACTGGAAAGCAATCTGAATGCACAAAGACACAACTAAACAAAGTACAATACACAAATTGCAATTTAAAGGGAGAAAGATCCTTTGCACATGCAGCAAGTATACCTGGGAACTTTTATTTCTGTACATTATATCTCAAATTTCCTATCTTTGAGTGATATGGGAAGATAATAGAATTAATTTGGACATCATTAGTGGAAAAAATGCAGAAAAAGTGGTGAAGCTCCCCTCTTTCAAATAGCAGTATGTCTACAGTAATTAACCACAGACTGAAAAAACAGGGAAAATGAATTGGTTTCAGGAAAAGATAAATCACGCTAAGAACTTATTCTTAACATATGCTACTGACAAAAGCTATGGGAGCTCAAATCAGCTACCTCAGAGGACATAAGGCTACCCTCTTTCCCTCTTACAGAGAAAATTTACTGTGCATCTTTTTCTTTTATACTAGTGAACTCAGAAGTTGTCTTCTGCACCACAGAAAACCAAAACAAAAAAAAAATAAAAATAAAAATAAAAATTAAAAAAAAGTGGCAGGGGGATATTGACATGTTGTCCACATTAGGACAGAAAGGAGGTTTGATCAAATTTGATCCCAAGCCCTTTCGCTTTTGCTTTATACCATTGAGAAACAGCAAACATCCATCTCTCAGCTGTCATGGTTTAACCCCAGATGGTAACCAAGTACCACACAGACATTTACTCTCCAACCCCCCCGGAAGAATGGGCAGAAAAATCAGGATAGAAAAGTAATACTTCTGCTTTGAATATATAGCTTTGAATATATAGCTTAATAATAGAAACAAAGTAAAATATCATAATACTATTCATATTCATTGTGATAATAATCATGACAAGAGAGAAAGAAAATCCAAGATAAATAATGTCAAATACATCTGCTCATCACCTGCTGACACAATTCTAGTTGATTTCTGAGAAACAAAATCACTCACTTCTAGCCAATTCCACCAATTTATATGGCGAGAATAAAGTTCTATGGTATGGAATATCATAAGTTCAGGTCAGCTGTCCTGGCTGTGCTCCCTGCCAGATCTGTGTTCAGCTAGCAGAGAATGAGACACTGGAAAGTCCTTGGTTTAGCATAAGCACTACTTAGCAACAATCTAAACAACAGTGTGTTATCAACATTATTCTCATACTAAGTCCAAAACACAGCACTGTACTAGTTAGTAAGAAAAAAACTAATTCTATCCTAGTTGAAACCAGGACACAGCTCACACCAAAAAGAATGTCTATCTTCGCTAGAGAATTCAATCTAAAGTATGAACTTCTTTTTCTTTCTTTTTTTTTTTTTTTTTTCTGTTTTTGTTAGGATTACATTAAAGCTTTTATGGTAAGCTTTAGTGGAGATGGGAAAACCAAGACTACTGCTATGGCTGTTTTGAAGAGAAAGGTCCCAGAAAGGCCGGTCAGACTCTGTATTACCTTTGTCTCCTCTTAGACCAGCTGTTCTCTTGCAAGTGCAACTGCCCTGGTAGTGAGAATCTGCTAGTAAGGGTATCCTGAGAGTGCTGAAACACCACATAAAGGCTCAATGCAATTATGTTCTTAAACAAGGGCATTGCTTAACACTGTGCATTTTATTTTTAAAACAGAATGTGATTTTTATTTTGATTTTTATTTTGTTCTACTTTCAGAGAGAGGAAATTCATAAGTCTTATGTTTTCAAACTTCCTAATGCAGCTTAATATTTAACAGTGTCATATGGTAAACAAAACATTGCTTAAAGAAAAAAAAATCCAGTGTAATAAAACCCATAAAATTATCATTGGAGGTAAGCATTATAATCAAGGCCTTCTTTAATACCACAAGAAAAAATAACCTAATAATTCTTATTCTTTTTGGCATTACCTATTCAGAAACAATTGAATATGCCCACTTATTTAACTCCTTTTCTTTCTCCTCTCAACACAACAAAAATACTTAAAGTATTTTTTAGTCCTGAAGCTTGTGAGCATATGTTCACTCATTCTATAATTAATAATCCCTACTTTTATGCAGTATATTAAAATAGAAAGTTACAAACATATGTTATTTTTCTCTTCAATTTATGTCTATGTTAAACAATAAAATATATTATTAATATATTAAAATCTACATAGGAAAGAGCATAAACTAATGAAACATGAGTATTGTTTGTGCTGCATTTTCCTACTATCATGTGAGGAAAGGAAGCAAGATGTCATTAAAATCAAACCCAAACCCCAAAATTTTAATAATCAACAATTTTTTTTTAGTATATTCATTACATTTGTTACATATATTTCTATTTATTATGTTTAGTATATGGCAATGTTAGTGGATAATAAGAACAGATTTGGTCAAAAACAATAACACAAAAGTTGTCTTACTTCTCCAAAGCACTTTGTTCTAATCTTTCTTTCTCCTTCCTCTGACGTTCTTTGCTCTTCTTAACTCGAGTTTCCCATAGTCCTCTTATGACAGAAAAGTCAAATATTATCACCTGATGCCCCATATTGTTGACATTAAGCTTCTCCTGCAAAAACAAGCCAATTGTTCAGAAAAAGGAATAATGAGATAAATAAAGCTCCAAACTATCAGGTTTCATTAAAATTGTCTGGGGAAAAGAGCTGAAGTCATAAGAAATATTAACATAGTATGTTTTCCATCTTCCCAATTTATCTAGGGTTTTGTGCTGGCAGTAATCAATGTAGCATACAATTCACTTCTACATAAAATCCATGGCAACAGCTACACACTGAATTTTTTGTATTCTTTACATTTTTTCCTTTTCAAGATAAAGACAGAGTTGCAAAAAAAAATACTGGTTTGATTAAGTAACACTGATGAAAATAGCTTTAAAGGTTCTGCATTTTTAATCGTTTCTGTGACTAATATTATAATGAATGCTCATAAAGAATTTATTCATTTTAAATCATGCAAAAGCACTTCATCTGGAGCTGTTGTGTATTGATCTTTATGACCTCAAACTATCCTCTTTCAATGGAATTTGTGAAATTCCTGAAAATACTGTTTAATTTTTTTTTATTATTATTTCATTGCTGTTTCCACTAAATCACTCTTATCTCAACCCATGATCTTTACTTTTTTGTGCCTTCATTCTTCCCTTGATCCTGCTACAGGGGTAGGCAGGCACAGTGAGAGAGCAGCACATTGTCTGGTGTGTTTTGAGGAGGAGCACTAAATTGGAGAATACAATTCCTAAACCACAACACATATGGAAACACATTCCAACAGTCAAAGGCTTGGTATCAGTGTATCAGGCTCCATACAGTTAAGAACTGATGTCAGCCAGAAAAGAAGCTCAAAAAATATATATCTCTTCTGATATAAAATGTTGGAAAACTAGTAACAATGGACAAAGAAAACACTTAGTTGCTCATTCTTTAATGGCAACCTCTTTTCCCACCCTTCTTGACTGGGTGGACTGCAGGATGTGGACTGGAAGAGAAAACTTCCTCCCACAAGATCAGTTTCATGACCATCTGAGGAACCTGAACATACATAAGTTTTTGGGGCCTGATGAATGCATATCAGAGTTCTGAGGGAATTGGCTGGCAGAGTTGACAAGCCAATCTCCCTGATATGCAGAGGATCATGGGAACATCCAAGGGAAGCTCCTGGTGAGTGGAAAAAGGGAAAAACTGCATCTATCCTTAATAAAGTTAGAAAGGAGAACTTTGGGCATTACCAAACTGTCAGCCTCACCTCTGTGCCTGGGAAGGTCCTGGAACAGATCATCCTCCTAACTATGCTAAGGCACAAAGAGATCAGGAAGATGATTTGGGATAGCCAGCAGGACTTCACTAAGGACAACTCTTGCCTGACCAATATAGTGGCCTTCTATGATGGAGGGACTACACTAGTGGACAAGGGAAAGGCTACAGATGCCATTTATCTGGACTTCTGTAAAGCCTTTGACTCAGTCCCCCACAATGTCTTTCTCTCTAATCTGGCAAGACATGGATTCAGCAGGTTGAATGTCGGATGGATAAAGAATTAGGTTGACAGAGGGTGGTGGACAATAGCTTAGAGTCCTGATGGACACCAGTGACAAGTGGTGTCCCACAGGAGTCTGTATTGGTACCAGTAGTAGTCAATATCTTCCTTTATGACATACACAAAAGGATTAAATGCACCCTCTGCAAATTTGTAGAGGACACCAAGCTGAGTGGTGTTGATACACCTGGAAGATGGAATGTCATCCAGAGGGACCTGGACAAGCTTGAAAATTGGGCCTATGGGAATTTCCCACTTATTTTTCCACTTTCCCGCTTGGCACAAGTGCAACTTGCTGCACTAAGTGCAAGTGCAAGGGCAAGGTTCTGTACCTGGGTCAGGACAACCCATTAAAATACAGGCTGGGGGATGAACAGATGGAGAGTGGCCCTGACCAGGGGGACTTAGGGGTGCTGGTGGATGAGAGACTGGACATGACCCAGTCACGGGCACTCCCAACCCAGAAAGCCAAATGAGTGCATCAGAAGGAATGGTAACCAACTGAGGGAGGGGATTCTTCCCTTCTACTCCACTCTAATGAGGACCCAACCTGGAGTGCTGCATCCTCCTCTATGTTCCTCAGCACAGGAAAGACATGGACCTGTTGGAGTTAGTCTAGAGAATGACCACCAGGAAGATTAAAGGAGAAAACCTCTCCTTTGAGAAGACTGGAAGAATTGGGATTGTTCAGCCTGGAGAAGAGAAGGCTTTGGGGTAATTGTAACTGTCCAGTACCTGAAGGAAATCTACAAGCAAGATGGAGAGAGCACGTAATAATAAGACAAGGGGCAATGGATTCAGACTGAAAGAGATGGTTTAGATTACATATTCTAAAGATACTCTCTACTGTGAGGGTGGTGAGACACTGGAACAGGTTGCCCAGAGAAGCTGTGGATTACCTATCCATGCTCAAGAGCAGGCTGGGTGGGGGTCTGAGCAACCCTGTCCAGTGAAAGGCATCCCTGTCCTGGAACTGGATGATCGTTAAGATCCTCTCCAACCCAAGCCATTCTGTGATTCTCTGTGTGAAACACAGCATATCTTACAAGATGGTGCTCCTTACAGTGGTTCAGTACCAGCATAAGAAACTAATCACCTACTAAATCTCTAATGCAAGTACACAAACAAATCTTGATAGAAGTGGAACTATACTTTCTTGCTCAGAGTCACTAGTCGTGATACAATCACCACAATATACTAGCTCTCATAAACAGTAGCTAGATTACCAACAGAGGAAAATCAGTTATTTTAACTTTGTGTGGGCTTTTATTAGAGAACACATTTATTATACCATTTATAAGCTTAGGGGGAAAAAATAAACAGTAGAAGAAAACCCTTCTTTACCATCTACTTATCAGTTAAAGAGCAATCCTCCCCATCCTTTCCTGTGTGTTTTCAAGCTCATGTCTATAATTTTCCCTCAGATGCTACTGTGATCATTTTTTCCAAGCATTGTGTCCTTCAGCTTGGTCTATTTATTATCTGTCCTTCTGTTATAATATTGAGGACAAAGGGGAAATTATTCTCCCCTCTGTATTTTTTCCCTTAACTTTGCAACTGTGGCTATTCTCTTTCACCCCCTTTCACCTACACATCCCTCTGTAGTACATAGGATATAAAGGAATAATTTATTCTGAGCCAGAAAAACACCCTCATGTCCTCTGGAAAATGCACAGCATGGACTAAAAAGAATTATGTGTAGATATGTCCAGAGAAAAGGTACCTGCTCACCTTATTAGTCATCTCAGTAAGAAAGACCCTCTCAAATACCAACAAGTATTGGCTCAGAAACTGGTCAGAGACCAGTATCATTCTATTCACAAGCCCTTCTGTATCTTAGGATGTTTATATAAATGTTATCTTTGTTGTTCATAAAGCTGCAACTATTTCTTGTTTATCTTTGATAGCACTAAAAATGAGGCAAAAATCCTTCCTAACCTTTCTGGAACTAACAGATGACAGCAGCTGAGTCAAAACCCCATTAAAACAGTGTAATTAAAACAGTGACCTTATTCTCTGTGGAAAGGTTTGTCCTTCTAAAACATATTTGCTACTAATTTACAGGAACTGTTTACCTCATAAAATAAAATGTTCACCTCTGCTTACAGGAGGAAGAAACCCAATGACAAGAACTTCACCCCTCACAGTAACTGCAGACCAGCAGTCACTCTGAAGAGTCTAATTCATTTTAATAGACCAATTCATAGAAGTGTGTTTTGGTAGAAAGGCTGTTGCAGAAGCTGAATTGTTGTGAGACAGTGAAGTTGCAGCTGGACACTTGACCTCTGTTGGAACTAGATGGCCTTAATCAACAGAGAGTCTGAATCGACTGTGAAAGCACTCCTTTTCCTTGACTTGTTTCTCACCTTCCTGTCTCACAGGTTAAGTCATCCATTCTTTATTGAGACACTGATTTATTAAACACTAGGTCAGAAAAGTTCATTTTATCAACATATTGCTTTTATCCATATACAGCTTTTACCCACATGTTGCACTAAACGGCAAGGCATTGTAGGGTTTTCTTCCTTGGTAACACCAAGCAGAGGACAAACTTGGGTGGGAGGTGAGAGCTGTCCATCATAACGCCTCAGAATTAATCTCTTCAGAGGGAGCAAAGCTACAAATCCTCATCAGATTACAGGGTGACTAAGGCTGTAGAAATATGTATCAGGACAAATGTGAAATGCTTTTTGACATCTACAACTCTGAAAAGGTCACCTAGCAATCTTCACAAGGCTGTTGCTTTATTCTATATCCTTGTCTAAAAAATAGGCATGAAGTATCAAGCATGATGTGAGAATATGTATTTATCAAAATTCAGACACCATCATTTTCTTAATGATGAGATGTTGCCCAGAAAGCAAAACTGGCTAAAGCTATGCTTAGCTGATACTGAGAATAGGTTCTTCAGGATACCTACTCATACATGACAAGGATTTATCACAGAAGAAGCAACTAATAATAATGATTTTGATTTCTAGAAATACATGCTCAAATTCACACACAGCAGTTTCTTTCTTCCAAACATCAGATTAGGCCTGTAGAGGAAAACTCAAAACTATCACCTATTATTCACAGGGTAAGCTACATTTGGATAGAGAAAAATCTCAATCATACACTTCTTTCTAACTTCTTAGCTTCAACTAGGAACACAGCTATGTTTCCTCCCATACTTAAGCTACTCACAAGTAATCACTATTATCATTCCGTCCATTATCAGAAACCACAGCAAAGTTAGAAAGGACCTTTAGAGATCACCTTGTCTGACTACTCTGCTCAAAACAGTCATACAGTTCTGTACATCCTGCAGCACCCCTCCTCTTCCAATTTCCCCATCATTTTTTAATTCAGCACTGCTTCTTTCTCAACCCACACTTACACATGATCATTAAGGACAGGCTTTGTCATAGTTGTGAGGATTATGTCACCCATCCATATGGCAATAAGGGAAAAACAAAAAACTATTTTGTACTCAAGAAACAGGCAACCTTGCTTTCGTTAAGGACAAGTCCTGCC